AGAAGAGGAAGAAGAAGAGGAAGAAGAAGAAGAAGAAGAAGAAGAAGAAGAAGAAACTACTCAGAAATAAATAGAAGAAAATAAATAATGCAGAAAAGGAAAAAATTGTATAAAGCAAAAATATTCACAAAGAAACTAAATACAGCAAAAAAAGTACTCAGAAATAAATAGAAGAAATAGATAAAGCAGAAAAGAAATAACTATATAAACAAATTACTCAAAAATAAATAGAAGAAAATAAATAATATTCAGAAATAAATAGAAGAAAAAAATAAAGCAGAAAAGGAATAACTATACAAAAAAATTACTCAAAAATAAATAGAAGAATATAAATAATGCAGAAAAGAAAAAAAATATAAAGCAAAAAAATTCACGATGAAACTAAATACAGCAAAAAAAATATTCAGAAATAAATAGAAGAAAAAAATAAAGCAGAAAATAAATAACTATATAAACAAATTACTCAAAAATAAATAGAAGAAAAAATAAAGCAGAAAAGGAATAATTATATAAAAAAATTACTCAAAAATAAATAGAAGAAAATAAATAATGCAGAAAAGAAAAAAATTTATATAAAGCAAAAAAATTCACGAAGAAACTAAATACAGCAAAAAAACTATTCAGAAATAAATAGAAGAAAAAAATAAAGCAGAAAAGAAATAGCTATATAAAAAATTACTCAAAAATAAATAGAAGAAAATAAATAATGCAGAAAAGAAAAAAATTATAAAAAACATGTTGGGGCGCTGCCCGGTGGGCCTGCCAGACCTTGGGTGTGCAAATACATGCCCAGCAGGGCCAGCAGGCTCACATGGCAGCGCGCCCTAGTTAGACCCAGAAGCCTGCTATATAGAGGAGTTCGAAAGGGCAGCCGCGGCTGGGTTTATAAACATGTGCGGCTGCCCTTCGCTCGGCGAGGTGGGACAAAATGTAGCGCACTGCGGGTGGTAGCGCACGGGCATTAGTACCGGTTGGAGGCTCTAACCGGTACTAATGTGTTGCACTTTAGTACCGGTTGGAGCCACCAACCGGTACTAAAGGCCCTCGTTTCCCGTCGCTTGGGCTGGCCAAAATTGGCCTTTAGTACCGGTTGGAGCTACCAACCGGTACTAAAGGCATATCCTATATATACTACACTTACGAAAAATCAGTTATCGTTGCCACTAATTCATTCCACTTCTCGCGCGCGCGAGTCTCGATCTCGATGACGCCGACCCCGCCGTGCCGTCGCCCTCGCTGCCCCCGCCGCCCGTCATCGTCCTCGCCGCGCGCCCCCGCCGCCCATCATCGTCGCCGCGCGCCCCCACCGCCCGTCGTCGTCGCCGCGCCCGGTCTTGTCGCCGTCCCGGGCCGCCGCCGGCCCGTCTCGTCGCCGTCCCCGGCCCCCGCCGCCCGTCGTCACCGCCCCCGCTGCCCTTACGTGCCCGGCCCGCTCCACACACACACACACGCATACACACACATACACACACACACACACTACTCACACACACAGACACACGGACACACACACACACATACACACAGACACACACAAACACACACACAAACACACTACACGTACACTACACATGCATGTACGTACGTACACACATATACACACACACTACACACACACACATATTTTTTTACTTATTTTCTGTTTTCTAATGTTTAGATAAATTAAAACTATCTAGTTTATTTTTAGAATGTTAGAAATGTTATGTTAGATCGATCTATTTTATTTTTAGTAAATGCTTTGTTGAACTAGTTGAATTAATATATAGAACTAGTTTATTTTTAGTATATGATTAGTTTGAACTAGTTGAATTTATATAACTAGTTTATTTTTAGTAAATGTTTAGTTGAACTAGTTGAATTAATATATATAGAACTAGTTTATTTTTTATAAATGCTTAATTGAACTAGTTGAATTAATATATAGAACTAGTTTATTTTTAGTATATGCTTAGTTTGAACTAGTTGAATTAATATAAATAGTTTATTTTTAGTAAATGTTTAGTTGAACTAGTTGAATTAATATATATATATAGAATTAGTTTATTTTTAGTAAATGCTTTGTTGAACTAGTTGAATTAATATATAGATTTAGTTTATTTTCAGTATATGCTTAGTTTGAACTAGTTGAATTAATATAACTAGTTTATTTTTAGTAAATGTTTAGTTAAACTAGTTGAATTAATATATATATATATATATATATATATATATATATAACTAGTTTATTTTTAGTAAATGCTTTAAACTAATTGAATTAATATAACTAGTTTATTTTTAGTAAATGCTTAGTTGAATTAATAGAAGTAGTTGAATTAATTGAATTAGTAAGTGATTAATGTTTCGCCTAATATGAACAAACGAAATATCGTCTGACGACGGAAAAAATTTCATTATGTGCGAATACTGTGAAGACCAGCGCGGCCAGTGCGACAGAAATTTCCTTGTTGATGGTACGTGATTCAGCATCAAGCTGAATGAGACTTTCGAATTCGATACAGTAAGTCACAACGACAAGTCTGTTTTCGTAATTAAGCATGACTTATATATGCTTCATTTGGCTGACTTATAATTTTTAATTTTCATTATTCTACTAGCGCATCTCGTGCCATGCAAGAATTTTTATCTTGGATAAGATAGGTTTCAAAGATATGGAAACTATGGAAATAAAGAGAGCTTACCTGAAAACTGAGCATGATGGTTATACTTTCAACGTCAAAGTATACAATGCACACACGTACACCTATTTTGAATGCAAAACTTGGCAAGCACTATGCAAGGCTTATGCATTTGGGCCTGGTATGGTTATCACCTTTGATATTCGTCCAGAAGATGATATTGAAGGTAATAGAGACATATGGGTCGATGCGCAGACGCCTCCAGTTCTACCATTATGTGAGTTCTTCTCAACTATATTTTTGTCTTTGATGTTGCTTATTAAAAAATAACTGATAACTAATTTATATTGACAGCTTATCTCCATTCAACCAAACATGTCCGACGCTTGGTAGACAGGACCTACTACTGTCCCGGAGCTGAACTAAACTACGAGGAGATAAGTTATTATGTTTCATGGCTTAAGGATCTTC